CAAGAGAAACATACGGGCAGGGGAGCTGGTCGAGGGACCAGCGGAGTCGTGGATCATCTGTCAGGCAAGAGCTCAACCCGGGGGCGGTGGGGATGATGGACGACTGAGAGAATCCGATGACAGAGAGTGAAATGAAGGTAGGAGCTTTCCTCTCATCATCATCCTCCTCCTCCTCCTCTCCCTCTCCTCCTCCTCCTCCTTCTCCTCCCCCTCCTCCTTCCTGTCCTCCTGCACCTCTTCATCCTCCTCTTCATCCTGCTTCTCGTTCTCCTGACCGACCGTCGCTGACTCGTCCCTGCCCTGTCCTCCTCGTCGATTGCTCGGCAGTCACCGACAGCAAGGAGCCTCCCTCCGAGCCTGCGCAGACCACGCAGAGAGCAGGTGAGACCCAGCTCTTGTCTCCTTCCTCCTGCTGACCCTCAATGTTGGGAAGGAGGAAGCTCTCTGCCCGCCATCGTTCCCCGCGCCCGACCAGCCATGGACATGCCGGGCATGCAGGTCGACGACTTGATCCAGGTCGCTCCTCCTCCTCGCCTGCCGTCGAGCGTCTTGACGAGTCAGCAGAGGGAGTCCAACGAGAAGAAGAAGGAGAGGAAAGCCTTAGAGAAGGTATGAGTGATCTGCCTCCCCTGCCCATCCATCTCCTTGCCCACACATTCAACACTTCCTCCACCTCCTCCTCCTCCTCGTTGTCGTCTCCTCTTCGTTCTCGTCTGCTCCTCTTCCTTGAGTCCTCTTCCTCTTCACCTCCTCTTCCTCCTCCTTCTCTACTCGCTCTCCTCTCGTGGCTCACAGGATGACGGCAGGCGGCTCTGGAGAGGAAGGCTTCTGAGCTGGAGACCTTGTACAAAGGTGTGACGGACTCGCTCCTCCCTCGTCGCTCCTGACGCTACTCCCACCAGAACCCCAGCTGACACCAGAGGAGATGGAGGCAAGGAAGAGGTACCTGGAGAAGCAGCGGTCCTTGATCCTTGACAGGAAGAAGAAGGAGAGGGAGGTACGACTCTCCCCTCCCCCTCTTCCTGTCGCTCCTCTTCATCCGCATCCCCCCCCCCCCCCACGTCCTCCTCCTCCTCCTCCACCACCTCCTCCCGCATCCCCCTAGCTCCTCCTCCCTCCTCGGTTCTGAGGTGGGTCGGCCGGTGGGGGTGCAGCTCGAAGTTACAAAGAGTAAAAGGCCGGGGGAACAGCCGGAATCATGGAAAGCGAACAAGTTTCAAATTAGAAAAGGGTAATCCCTTGGTTTGGAACCTTTTGCAATTGGTTAATT